CCTGGGTCACCACGAGAGCAATCTCTCCTACACTCACACGCGGAGTTTATGAACATTATATCAGGTGAGTTGTTTGATACAATTGCGAGGAACGTTGTGCATATATATAAGACATTAGTATTAGCCTTATTCCTCGTAGAAAACACCAGAAGAATGGATATATAGATGCTTTGATATCTCGGTATATGCCTTTGTTGAAACAAATTGGTACTTAGGTAAATCCTACACATGGCCATGTAGGAGCTCGGGTGCGCACCCAAAACTGCAGGACTTTAAGTCTGCACTACACCACTTCGGAGTTGAAAAATATATAGCTACCGTCACAAACAAGGTGAAAATATTTCGTGATAAGTGGACCCGCTTGACCGAGCTTTTGAAGAACAGTGAGAGACACGAGGTGCACGGCATGGTGACGGACCGGCCACAGTGAGAGACCGCCTTGTACTGCCCAGCGTCTCACGAGGTGCACGGCATGGTGAGGGACCGGCCACAGTGAGAGACCGCCTTGAACTGTCCAGCGCCTCACGAGGTGCGCGACATGGTGACGGACCGGCCACAGTGAGAGACCGCCTTGAACTGTCCAGTGTCTCACGAGGTGCGCGGCATGGTGACGGACCGGCCACAGTGAGAGACCCCCTTGAACTGTCCAGTGTCTCACGAGGTGCACGGCATGGTGAAGGGCCGGCCGAGGAGATTTCATTCGCTTTGCCCGTTAATTACCCTTGGACATCTTGGTGACGTAACTTCCTGGGCCCTCTTGGCTCGTGGGAGGCAGAGTGACTAGCTGTCGTAGGGAAAGGAAAGGCGGGAATGTGGGGTGGGGTGGAGAGTAGGGTGAGAGGAGGGAAGTTGGGGGGGGGGGGGGCTGTCACATTGGGATAACCGGCGTGCCGAAAGTCGTTGCGCGCCCTCGGGCAAGTCCCTTCGAGAGCCGGGAGCCGAGATTCGAGAACTTGTGCGATTGCACTGCGTATGCACAAGAAAACAATCATTAGGAGTGGGTGATGTAACAGCATTATCCGTTGGAGAAACAACAACAGTGACCAAAAGTGCTGAATGTGTTATTAATTTGATCAAATGTGTTGTTGATGTGTTGCCCGCTTGATATGAACTGTATTTTGCCCGGATTTTGCATACTGCGTTGACAGTTCATGTGCTGTAAATGCGCCGTGGCCACGATCCATAACTAGATTTGAATGTAAAAATACGGCACTCGCACTACGTCGTCTTTATTATATATGGAACGAAAAAAAGTGAAGAGATAAAAATGTGAGAAAATGATAACAAAAAATGATATAACGGATGTAAAAAATGTAACGCATTTCAAAGCTCGTTGTTTGTTCATGTGTATGAAACTGACATGTTCAATAACCTGAAAAAATGTGAAAAAAATGCGAAACACTTCCTTTAAGTACCTCCTGGCTTAGCCACTGGGCCTCCTCGATCTGAATTTTTATAACACATGTGCAACCACAAAACGTTCGGTTTGGCCAAAAGGGCCCCCGAAACCGGAGCGGCAGATGCACATTCTTGCTCCCTACACGCCGGCGGAGGGCAACCAATCCGGGCGCAGAGTGCCCCGGAGAAGGGGCCCCTTGCTGCAGAAGGGGCCCCGCGCGCGCGGGGTGCCCGGATCTGCTTCAGAAGGGGCCCCGCGCGCGCGGGGTGTCCCGGATCTGCTTCAGAAGGGGCCCCGCGCGCGCGGGGTGCCCGGATCTGCCTCAGAAGGGCCCCCGCGCGCACGGGGTGTCCCAGATCTGCTGCTGAAGGGGCCCCGCGCGCGCGGGGTGCCCGGATCTGCTTCAGAAGGGGCCCCTCGCGCGCGGGGTGCCCCGGATTTACCTCAGAAAGGGCCACGCGCCATCGACTGCTGCAGGATCCCGTGACTTGGTGCACTATACTTTTTGACTTATTGATATTCTGCATTCATGCATTTGATTTTCATCCTTTCAAACTTTTTGCTAATTCGACCTTTATCCCTACTGACTTTTTGCACTTAATTCGTATCTTTTTGACCTTTGCCATTTGAATCATCGTCTTCTCGGCTTATCGCCGTTTGACCTTTATTCGTTTGACTTTTGTCCCTATTGACTTTTTGTCCGGTTACCATGCCAAACATAATGCACCACACTCATCTACCACAATCGCCCATGGTTCTGAGCACCATGACACACTCAGCCTACGCCGTCTGCAGAGGCGGAGTTAGGGGTGGCGTTTGGTCGCGTGTACTGAAAGGGGTCACAGGAGAACGTACCGATTCATCACACTTTTTTCATGCATGCAGTATGTTTTCTAGAATATGCTGGCTGCATTCCATGCTCTTTGTTGTCAATATTAACTGCATCGATGTAAAAACAGTTTATGGCCCCAGCTGTGCTCTTCGTGAGAGGGTCCGGCATATGCCCCTGCGCCAGTCGCCGGGCTCGCCTCTGATCGGGCGCTGCGCTCTTCCGTGAGGAGTCCGGCATGGGCTCCTGCGCCGGTCGCTGGGCTCGCCTCTGATCGGGCGCTACGCTCTTCCGTGAGGAGTCCGGCATGGGCTCCTGCGCCGGTCGCTGGGCTCGCCTCTGATTGTGCGCTGCAGCCCGGTATGCAGAAACGATAGCCAGGCGGCTAGCAACGCCGATAAGATACTCGCACAGCCCTGCGGCCTGAGCGGCCGGCCACGGCCATGTACAGCTCCTCCCCACTTCAGAGTGGCCGGCCACGCACGGCCATCTACAGCTCCTCCCCACTCCAGAGCGGCCAGCCACGCACGGCCATCTACAGCTCCTCCCCACTCCAGAGCAGCCGGCCACGCACGGCCATCTACAGCTCCTCCCCACTCCATAGCGGCCAGCCACGCACGGCCATCTACAGCTCTTCCCCACTCCAGAGCAGCCGGCCACGCACGACCATCTACAGCTCCTCCCCACTCCAGAGCGGCCGGCCACGCACGGCCATCTACAGCTCCTCCCCACTCCAGAGCGGCCGGCCACGCACGGCCATCTACAGCTCCTCCCCACTCCAAAGCGGCCGGTCACGCACGCCAACTACAGCTCCTCCCCACTTCAGAACGGCCGGCCACGCACGGCCATCTACAGGTCCCCCCCCCCCCACACACACACTCCACAGCGGTTGGCCACGCTCGGTCATCTACAGTTCCTCCCCACTCCAGAGTGGCCGGCCATGCCGCAGCTTCTCGAGCCTCGGGGATGGTAACAACTCAACTGCGACCGAATTGGGCAGGTAGGGCGAAGGCTCGACGTTTTTAGAGCTCTGGCTTGTTTTGACAAATAACTGAGAATTGCAACAGCTGAGGACGTGCTCTGCTTACCTTCAGCGCGTTGAGGTTTTCCTCAGGACGGTCGCTGCTGCGAATGCTGCACCGATGTTTGTGCGTTGGTTTTTCTGCCAATAAGGCCGTCGGTACGTTGGTACACCGTTTGGCATCGTATGCAGGTACATTTGCAGCAGACTAATCAAAACGCACTTGTACAGAACCACTATTTTCACACGCGAATGCATGATGCCGTTCAACCTGTATCATAAATGGCGATACCTAGGGGTTGGGGGCTCATTGGGCCTTTCCTCCCCCTATCAGGTTCGAGCGCAGTTTTTCACCACGACAGCGGATAATTTAGTTCGAAAATCTAGTGATGAGGAAAACTATGTTTGCTTTAAATCTCATAAATATTACCATGACCAGCAAAACGTAGAGCCCACGGCCGCAATTAAGTAGCAAGACTAGCGAGTAGCAGAGTGAATTACACGGCAGGCAGCTAAGACAACTGTTTAAGGCACCAGAGTAACCAACACCAATGTCTCATTAAACGCTACGTACTGTACCTATGAAGCCATGCGACCCGTATCTGTGATGTGAATGTTACGTACAGAAATACTTACAAAACAAACATTCATCCTTCCGCATCGTCCCGCTACAGGAAAGGTTCTGACAAGATTCGCCACAGGCAACCATTTATTGGAGGCCGCCTGGCTGGACCTGCTTGACGGGAGCCGCCTGGATGCAGCTGCCTGACGGGAGCTGCCTGCCTGGACCTGCTTGACGGGAGCCGCCTGGCTGGAGCTGCTTGACGGGAGCCGCCTGGCTGCAGCTGCTTGATAGGAGCCGCCCGGCTGCAGCTGCTTGACGGGAGCTGCCTTCCTGGACCTGCTTGATGGGAGCTGCCTGGTTGAAGCTGCTTGACGGAGATGTCTTACTCTGGTCACAATGGTCTCCCGGGTGAGTGTGTACTCTTATTTATGCGTTGGCTTAGTTTTACTTGACCGTCGGGTACGTCCCTGCTCAACATTGCGTCTGCACGTGCCGGACATAATGAGCGAAAACAATTTAATGAGACAGACATAGAATACTGGCGACCAGAAAAAACATAACGTCCGAGTATGTAAAGAAGACAGAGTACCATGATAATGGCGTTCTTGCACAATGTTTTTGGAAGGCCAAAAAGCCTACAAAGTATTTAGTATTTATATGTTATTAAAATATTCAATATTTAATACTAGGTATTAAGTGGATTTACATATGCGCCTTTCAAAGGCATTGCAGTTCTGCGTTAGTAATGTGACGCAACCAAAAGCAATCAACATATTTTGTCGGTGAATGCATTACGGGTATCTCACCGGTCTTCCAACTTAACATCGTGTGATGAACTCATCCACGGATGCGTTAACATATTTAAAGATACAATTTTGTCAGAATTTGGAATGAGGCTTCATCGAATAACTGACTGCTATGTATTTGCCGTCCGTAAGCCGCGCTGCCTGATGTGAACCGGCATACTCCGCCCTTCCCTGTCGCCAGCCGTTGTACCCCCGTTGGGCCAGATGTTTTGGGGACAGCGTCAGCAGCTCGGCGCTGCGTTCCGCCCCTCTCCTCCCCCTCCCATCACCCACGCCCCACGAGCCGGGGGCCGCGCCAACACGCACCCCTTATAAACGGGGTCCAGACCTGGCTACGTCACAACTGCTGCGTAGACGCGGTGAGAGGAGTGGTTTGTCAACTCCTGCGTAGACACGGTGAGTGAGAGGAGCGGCTGTCTCTCGGTTGACCTAGTGTGACCTGACCTAGTAGCGCGGAGCGGCCAGAGCCACCTATGTGGGTCATCATTTTAGAGGAGTGTTGCGGAGTGTCCCCCAGTGTCTGGTACCTTGCCTCTTTTTCGCACTTCGGTGACTGCTATTTATCACTGACGATAAGCCTGCCGTATTCATTCACACATAACACCAGTCTGATACGCAACGCACAGGGCATCGGTCTGTTCAGTATGTACTGCTTTTTTCGTCATTTTTGTTGTTTTTGGGTTCAACCACGTATCCAGCATTGACTGTGAGCCAAGCTCGAGCACCACACCTCGTGGCTGTGGGACGAGCCCCCCCCCCCCCCCCCCCCCACCTTATTGAGCCATGCTGCCCCCACTGCGTTTGTTCTACTGACGCGTTGGTATCAGTTTCGCCCACAGCCATTATGAAGATCGCCGTGTTCGCACTGTGCCTGCTTGCTGCGGCCGTGGCCTGGCCGCTAGACCAGCCGGCGGAGGAGGCCTCCGGCATGTCCATCGAGGTGCTGGACCAGCCGGCGGAGGAGGCCTCCGGCATGTCCATCGAGGCGCTGGATCAACCGGCAGAGGAGGCCTCCGGCATGTCCATCGAGGTGCTGGATCAACCGGCAGAGGAGGCCTCCGGCATGTCCATCGAGGTGCTGGATCAGCCGGCGGAGAAGACCTCCAGAATGGCCATCGAGCCGCTGGTCGGAAGTGGAGACGCGCCCATCGACTTCGCAGAACCCGAAGGCAGTGCGTCAGGGGAAGGCCCTCTGGAAATCTTCTGGGCCGGTGCCAAGGAGAACGAGGTTGTGTCGCCATCCGACTCTCCTGCTCAGGTGAGTGCTGACTGCCGGGCAAAGACGTGCTCTTGGTATTGATGTCACGCTAGGTGTCGTGTTCATATTGCTTGGTTGCTCCGCTTCGTTTCACAGCATCGTCTTTGCTGGCAGTGCATGAACCCACAACGGTCCGGAAATGGCCATTCTTATCAACAACACTTAATCCATAATGTCCATGCATGCCTTAAGCCGTTGACCAGTTCGCCAACGCGTCGCGAGTGAGGCAAACGCTTAACCAGCAAAGCTTCAACGAAGTCTGGGCCTCCAACGCCGATCTTAACGAGCGCGTCTCATGCTACAGGACTTGACAGCTGAGTCCAGTTAGAACGGCATCGTCAGCAGCATCTGCTTGCATTCTCAGCTACAAGCAGACCCTGCAGGCGCCACCATTGTCTCCAACCCTGAAGAGGAGAACGGTGACCGTCGACAAACATCGGCACCTTTCATTGTGTTCATATTTGCTGAATGTTTCATGTTTATGGACCTACCTGATAGGACGCGTGAGAGCATGCTTGCCATGCATGTGAGATGCAATAAATGACGGGACTGATACAGCATTTGCTTCCTACCAAAGCCTGACGCTCACAGCACGAACCAGGAGAACAGAGATAGTACTCTCCACAATTATTGGAGGTTTCAAAAGTCAGCGGAAACTTTTATTGAGACCATTTTTCAATGTTTCACCATAACAGGGGCCTAAATTTCAAATCTTTATTATTTAAATGATCGGGCGAACGTCAAGCAAACAAGATGCACCAAGGTACGGAACTAATGTTGAATTTATTTTGCGGGAAATGGAAAAAAAACATACCAATTTCCGCTAAGAATGAAAAGTCCCGCTCGTAGCACCGGTTTTTGTTCAAGGAACGAACGTGCTGTCATTGACGTCATTTTTCCTCTTCGCGTCCATCGAGGCGGCAGCTGTTACAGAGTTTCGTTCGAGGGGCTTCGTTCCAGTCGAGCATTAAACTCAGGGCTTCACTCACGACAGCGCGACATTGACCATGGCTCAAGACCTCGTTGCTATAGCGGTAGATCGGAATGGTCTGAGACAAATTCGCTTCTCAGAATTGTTTTTGATAGTGCTCTGATTTTTGCAAAATATTTGAATTAGGTGAGCTTTACTGCGTGTGTCTGTGTTGCGAACAGGACCAGCGTGGACTTGATCTCTGGCAGCGGCAGAGCTCGGGTGCTGGCTGCTAACAAGGTCAACGAGAGCAAGATGGCGCTCTCTCCGCCCTCTCTCTCTCTCTCTCTTCCATCTCTCTCTCTCTTCCTCTCTCTCTCTCTCTCTTTCTCTCTCTCCCTTTCTCTCTTTCTTTCCCTCCCTCTCTCTCTCTCTCTCTCTCTCTCTCTCTCTCGCTCTCTCTCTCTCTCTCTCTCTCTCTCTCTCTCTCTCTCTCTCTCTCTCTCTCTCTTTCTCTCCCTCTCTCTCTTTCACTCTCTCTCTTTCCGCTCTTTCTTTACTCGCTCTCTTCAGACGGAAAAATATCATTGGTGCCTGCATGCTAGTTCACCAATTTCAGCAATGTTCCATTAATATAAACTTACAATTCTGTGAAGCCACCATGCAGTGCCCATATACCGATGTCGCTCGTGATCTTGCACGCATTTACACAACGTAAGATTTCCCGAATGTTTATGCGTATACCGGAGACGAAGCCAATATTTCCCTCGGCTGCAATTGTAGCACCTTCTCCGAAATTCTACGAACTTGGACTAAACTCTTGCAAAATCTCACCATGTCTAGTGCAGACCTCTTGGCTTATGAGGGGGGGGGGGAGCATATGGTCCCCTTCGCCCCCGCTGGCTGCGTCCCCTGACGTGTGCGGTCTACTAGTTCGCCTGGAAACGCAGTCTGACCCCCACGGCTGAAGCTCTCTCCACGGACACGTCCGCAGAGGCCACTACTTGTTGGTGTAGACGGCGAAGGGAAGCCGAAGCGAGTCCATATACTTGTCAGACGTGATGACAGACAGACAGACAGACAGACAGATAGACGTGGTGCGGAGGGGTTATTGGCGCTGAATGCAGCGTCACTGGAGGCTTTCATCAGCAGGCTCCATTCAGCCAGGCACTGGCGGGAAACACATGTCAAGCACAATCGCTTTCACCCCCAGCAGTTCCCACCTTGAGTGATCGCAATGTTGAAACGAACCTGACTGACGCTACGTGTAATCGCAACGATATGGTATCTTTGGACGAACAACCGAGAAACGCAACTGATCAGTCAGACCCGACGCAATCCGTTGCCCGACCAGCAAGAGCTGACCAGCAACAGCAACGCCTGCGACGAACGTACGACGCACGTGACCTGCTTGGTAGCAAGACGAATGTAATCTGTAACAGTGGGCGTTGTCTTTTTTCTCCGGATTACTTGAGCGATCAGGCAGCTACATCTGAAGTCACGACAGACTGGATGCAAACAGACTGATGCTGACAGACAGACTGATGCCCACAGTCACTGAATACTGACTGGGATAATGGCTATGCTAAACGGCGCGAAATCTGGCGTTCGATGGCCTGGTACAGTGCGTGCTAGACAAAATGACAAAGCATAGGTACCGCTGAACTTACCGCACAAGTGAGGAAAACGAGGGAGGCTGGTTAATTTAACCAGACGAAAACGGACCGACATTGGCTTTTCAACACATGGCTAAGGACAGACTTTCTCAACGCGCAAACCAGCACCTTCAACACGTGACTAAGGACAGACTTTCTCAACACGCAAACACCCTCAACACATGACTAAGGACGGACTTTCTCAACGTGCAAACAGGCACCTTCAACACAAACGCAATCCATACAGCCAGATCTTGAAATCCCTTCCTGGACGAACAAGAGACACTATTTTCTCTGCTCTCGTCCAGGCTGAGATATCTTCTACAACAGATGCTTCTGACAAAGCAAACTTGTTGGACAGGCACTTTGCAGCACAGTCCCACCTTCGCATCGACGAATCACATCAGACCGGCGCCTACTGACGACGCAAGGTCATTGATGAGTCTCATTCTAAACCAGATGACTATTACTGAAGCTGAACTACTACTCAACCATTATTGCTTCGAGCTAAAAAAAAATCGCGCGATCCTGATAATTTCGCTATGAAATGCTTGAAATGTATGGGAATTCTAAGTCGCCAACCTTTTACTAAGCTTTTCGTCGAAATGCCTGTCTATTGCGTGGAAACATGCATGCAACATGCAGAAGGTGAAGCATGCAACCGTCCAACCAGTCAAGAAAGAACAAAGATGCGTCACCTCCCACAAATCATAAGTCCATTAAGCCTCTCCTTGTTTGTCTAAAGCGATTTAGAACATCTGCAAATGTCCTGCCGACAATTCTCTCCCATCGGATAAGCAAAATCGGTTAAGGCCGGGACACGGCACGCGCCTTCAGCTAGCAAATTTGATTCGAAGCAGTTGTAATAAATGTTGACTGAGAACAGGACTCCACCGTCATCTACTCGGAAAAATGATTATATCCACTTGGAAATACCCCGACCAGTCCGGACAAAATTGTACCGAATCTACATACAACCACACTTTGACCAACGCGACAGTCAACACAAAATGAGACGGACACATAACTGAATACGCCGCCCATGACTTCAGACCATTCAGAACTGGGCAGCGTGCCAAATCACTGGCACACACTTTAGAACACATACGGCAAGTGACAACTTTCGCAGAGACCCTGGGCGGGACTCACCCGCCACGCGACGTAAAATCAACAGATTTGCAACTTGACACCACTTGCAGCTGGACACCGTTGATCTTGTCAGGACTTTATGACGCACTCAACTGCTAGGCTATGTAGCGCCCACTGCCTCTCATCCTATCAGGGAGAGCGGGCAGCACAGGGAGACGAACCCCGTACCCCTGGTTTGCCAGACGCGCAGCCTTACCACTACACTGTACGTGGTACCCGCAGTTGGGTGCCCGGTCAGAAGGTCCACAGCACGCGCGATTCACTGTTTTAACACTCATTTATAGGACACTTGAAGAAAACAAACACGCATCAAACGCACGTGCACTTCCACAAAAACACTACATCTTACCAAAACCTTTGTCCCGCCATCTCAAGAGACTGGAACAACCTACCACATGTCATCTCATCGCTTATATTCCATAAATCTTTCATCATTGACACTTTTAGATCGCATTAATGCCCCCCTTCATGGCACCAGCATCGGTACGTTGCCTGTGGTTTAACGACACCTTTCAAAAAGTACTAATTCTATCAAAACTGCTCTGAATGATTGAAAGCTTGCCTCATCTCACGACTAATGGGACCGATGACGAGGTGCAAATTAGGGTGGCGGTTTCTTGGCGATGTCACCGCGCTGGGGGTTGGCGGGAGATGTTAGAATCGCGATTATCTCAGTAGGGGTGTAATCCCGAATGAAGCCTGGAGGCTCATGACCCATAGCTCATAGGCTCATGTCTTTTGCGTTGATCGGAAACGTGAATGGAGGGCAATGCGATGCAAAAATGCAATTGGGTTGGACTGGATTGGATGCGATTGGACTCCGAACATAAAATCATTGCATCTGTGTATCCAATTATTCATACATTTATGCCATCAATCATACTGCTAGTATTTGTCTTGTCAACAAAGAATTGAGCTTGGTTGTTATGATCTTGTCGCATTTCAATTCTGGGGTAATCTATTTGTTCCATTAAAGTCACATAAACTATTCCTTTAGTAACTGAATTCGCTTGCCTGAATGCGTTGAAAATCTTACTAATTTAAGGCCTATTCATTCAATGAGTTGCTCTTTATGAAACTGGTCTCATCGAGCTTCCCCCAAATTTTAGTAAATGCGAATGCTTACAGAATTAAGCCCGGAATGTGCGTGACTGTCGGGAAGGGTATCACACGCACATAATGGCCGAAAACTTATGCATACCCCGCAAATCATCGATTGGCGCGTTTCAACCAGCTCTTACACATGACTTACTGGGAGTGCAATAGATTTAACGCCCGATCAAAGCTGATGTGCACGCTTTATCTAAACAAGATGAGTCGATGGAAACATTGTCGGGCAATGGTTGCAGTTGCAGAGAAGTTGCAGGGAGGGCAGCACCCGGCCGTCATTCGATGCTCTTCAACGTCTACTGAAACGGTGCCTCGGGAAAGTAGCGAATTATGTTGCTTAGAATATCCACTATCAGTTGAAATACTCCCGATGAATATCACGGCGTTGCTCTTGATGGTCCAAGAAAACTTCACCGGTGATAATGAGAGGGAGAAAACTTAACAAAAAGGTCTCAGGCACAGGCATCAACGTGAATAAAAGAGGGGGAGCTTAATTCAATGTTT